GGTGGGCATCCCCCCCGGCCCAGCCCGCCTGCATGTGCCGCGGACTCAGAGGACTAGACAGGCACAGATGCAGGGCAGGTGCTCCAGGCCAGCAGTTTATTCGGGGCAGGGTGGGCAGCGGGCGGGCTCAGTAGCAGACGCCCTCTGCCTCGGCCACGATCACGGACACGTTGACACGCGTGGGTATACCCGCTTGGCGGTCGATGGTCTTCTGGGTGAAGGCTGTGGGGAGGGCTTCATGGCCCACCACGCAGGAGTATTTCTGGCCGTCCTTCCAGCGCTCGGCCGCCACGCGGAGCATGCTGATCACAGCGAAGGTGGGGGCACTGTTGCCGGGTTCTGGCTGGGGGGCCCACGTCACGTAGTCTTTAGGGAGCAGCTCCTGGGACCCGTCCAACCAGCGCACCAACACGTCTTCGGGACTAAAGCCTCGCACCAGGCATGTCAGAGTCACCAGCTCGTTCAGGGCCAGCTCCTCCGACGGCGGCGGCAGCAGGTGGACCTGGGGCCGGAAGGTGTTCCCTGGAAGATGGAGAGCTAGTCAGTGCCCCTCTGCCCGCTGGGCACCTGGGCTGAGCCCTGACCCTCCCTAGCAGCCTGTGTCTCTGTCAAGGGCAGGAGCTGGAGGGGGGAGGTGGCCTGGGGACAGGCCCGTGCACACCTGAGGGCTTGAAGATGGTGGCGGTCAGCTGATTGGTGGACTCAGGGTGGGTGGCGGTGCATGTGAAGTGCTCCCCACTGTTCCAGGGCTCGGCGCAGCCAGGCAGGATGCTGGACACACTGTAGCAGCCGCAGGAGTCGAGCTTGGGTGTGCCCTGGACAGCATCCTTCCCGCCTGTGGGCTGCCAGGTGAAGGTGGCACCCTTGGGGTCCCTCAGGCCACTCAGTGTGCACGTGAGGCTGGCGTCCGAGCCCAGCAGCAGGTCCTCCAGGGCTGGTCTGTGCAGTGACAGCCGGGGCTCGCAGCACGAGGGCGGCACTGCTTTCAGGAGGGGCGGGCAGGTCAGCATTTCTCTTCCCCAGCCCCTCCCAGCCCCTCCCTGGGCTTGGTTCCTGGGACTCTCCTAGGGGAGCCATGCTGGGGACAGAGGTCTGAGCACTGGGTCGGGGTAAGATGGGATAGCCCCACCTCGCACCCCAGCCTGCCCTCTGACCTGGGCAGGACATGGCCACATCTTGTTGGTATGAGAAGTGTTGCACGTGGCATCTTGGGGGCGAGTTTTTGGAGCACTGGGCGGCCGGCATGGTCAGCTGGCTGGTCATGGTGTACAGGCCATCAGAGGCAGCCAGGCTAGGCGGGAAGGTCCTGATGGTCACTTCATCCCCACTGTGGCTCCAGCTCACGTTCGCGGGCTCCGGGAAGAAGCCCTGAATCAGGCAGGCGACTTCCATGTGTTCTTCCGACTCAGGGCTGAGGTTGTGCAGCGGGAAAGCCTTGGGGCTGGTCACAGGCACTGGAACGGAAAGGCCAGCCTCTGAGGCCTCGGGCCTGAGGAACCTGGGCGTAGCCCCACAAGGACAGAGTCCTGCCAGCCTCTGCTTTGCACTGGGGGAAGCTGACACAGAGAGGGCGAGTGATGCCCCCAGGCACCCAGCTCCTATGCCTAGACCTGAATTTGGACTGACCAGCTGCTCTGCTGAGCATGCTCCTCAGACAGCCTAGGCACGTGGGCCCTGCAGGCTGCCCAGGTGCAGCTATAGCCCTAGGGTGGGGACGGCGACAAGTGGGCCCAAATGGGGCACGAGGTCAGAGCAACCTGGGCTTGGAGCCCAGCCTGCATGGGATCAGCGAGTTGAAGGTCCCACTAGGAAGAGGAACGTCCTGGCTGTCTGCATCCCACATCCCAGGTCAGGGCCCCCTCCCACCACCCACCACTGCACTCCCCACAGCCCTGGCCTAGGACAAGGAGATGTTGACCCTTTGGCCTCCAGGATCTCAAGCAAGAAGCCAAAATCCAGACTCCTTCAACACGGGTGGCCAGGGTGGGGCCTGCTCCAGGCCTGTGTGGTCCATGAGCACATTCTGAGTCTCCTTCAAAGTACCTGCCGAGGGAGCCAGTGTCCGTGGTGACAGGCAGCATGACCCCAAGACACGGCGCTGGCATACCCAGGCCTCAGAACTGATATAAAGCAGCCAGCTCACCATCATCACAACACCCAGACAGCCCTCAGCTTAGTTCATGCCAGCCCAGCCAGCCCAGCCCAGCTCAGATTAGCCCAGCCCAGGCCAGCCCAGGCCAATTCAGATTAGCTCAGGCCAGCTCAGCCCAGGCCAGCCCAGTCCAGCCCAGCCCTGCCCAGCCCAGTCCAGCCCAGCCCAGCCCAGCCCAGGCCAGCCCAGCCCAGGCCAGCCCAGCTCAGCCTAGCCCAGCCCAACTCAGATTAGCCCAGACAGCCCAGCCCAGCCCAGGCCAGCCCAGGCCAACTCAGATTAGCCCAGGCCAGTTCAGCTCAGCCCAGGCCAGCCCAGGCCAGCACAGCCCAGCCAGCCCAGCCCAGTTGAGGCCAGTCCAGGCCAACTCAGATTAGCCCAGGCCAGCTCAGCTCAGCCTAGGCCAGCCTAGCCTAGCCCAGCTCAGATTAGCCCAGCCCAGCCCAGGCAAGGCCAGTTAAGATTAGCCTAGCCCAGGCCAACCCAGCCCAGCCTAGCCCAGCTCAGATTAGCTCAACCAGCTCAGCCCAGCCCAGCCCAGCCCAGCCCAGTCCAGCTAAGCCCAGATAATTCTGCGGCTGAGAAAATTTAATGCAAAACAATTTCCAGGCAAAGCTAGGCGTCTGGACAGAAATGCAAGAGCCACTAGTTGGCCTGCGGAAATAACTATCTGGGGGTCAAAATGTTTTTCTCCCCACCCCCATCATCCTTCTTGGCTCCCATGCTCTGTTCCCTTTGTGCTCACTTGCCCCCCTCCCAAGCAGAGACTTGGGGGAATTTGAGCAGTAATAGTGGGATCCAAGCCTTCCAAGGTTCAGCCTTCAACCAATTTGCAGATGTTCTTTACCACACACCAGGCCTTTTTCTTTTTAACCCCACTCCGCGCGCCCAGCCCAGCCCAGCCCAGCCCAGCTCAGCCCAGCCCAGCCCAGCTCAGATTAGCTCAACCAGCTCAGCCCAGCCCAGCCCAGCTCAGATTAGCTCAGCCAGCTCAACTCAGCCCAATCTAGCCCAATTTAGTTCAGACCAGCTCAGCTCAGCCCAGCCCAGCCCAGCCCAGCCCAGTCCAGCTCAGCCCAGCCCAGCCCAGCTCAGATTAGCTCAGCCAGCTCAACTCAGCCCAGCCCAGCTCAGATTAGCTCAACCAGCTCAGCCCAGCCCAGCCCAGCTCAGATTAGCTCAGCCAGCTCAACTCAGCCCAATCTAGCCCAATTTAGTTCAGACCAGCTCAGCTCAGCCCAGATCAGCCCTGCCCAGCCCAGAACAGTCAGCTCAGAGAAGCTGAGCTCAGCCCAACCTAGCTCTGTTTGGCCAAACAAAGGTCAGCTCAGCTTGGCACACCTCAGCCCAGTAGAGTCCAGCTCAGCTCAGTTTAGGTCAGATCAACTCGTCTAATTCAGCCCAGCTCAGCCCAGCCCAGTCCAGGTTAGCTCAGTCCAGCCCGGAGCAGCCCAGATCACCCAGTTTAGCTCAGCTCAGCCCAGCTCAGCTCAGTCTAGCCATCCCAGCTCAGTTCACAGCCCAGACTAGCTCCGCTCAGCTCAGTCCAGCCCTGTTTGGCCCAGCTCAGCTCAGCCCAGTTCAGCTCAGTTCAGCCCAGTTCAGCCCAGACTAGCTCAGCCCAGCTTAGCTCAGCCCAGGTTAGCTTGGCCCAGCTCAGATCAGCCCAACTCAGGTCAGACCACCCAGCTCAGCTCAACCCAGCTCAGCTCAGCCCAGCTCAGCTCAGTCTACCCATCCCAGCTCAGTTCACAGCCCAGACTAGCTCAGCTCACCTCAGTCCAACCCTGTTTGGCCCAGCTCAGCTCAGCCCAGCTCAGCTCAGCCCAGCTCAGCTCAGTCTACCCAGCCCAGCTCAGCTCAGCCCAGACTAGCAGAGTCCAGCTCAGTTTAGCCCAGGTTAGCTTGGCCCAGCTCAGCTCAACCCAGCTCAGCTCAGCCCAGCTCAGCTCAGCCCAGATCAGCTCAGTCTGATCAGCCCAGCTCAGCTCAGTCCAGACTAGCTCAGTCCAGCTCAGCCCAGCTCAGGAGCCCAGCTCAGCCCAGCTCAGCCCAGCTCAGCCCAGCTCAGCCCAGCTCAGCCCAGCTCAGCTCAGTCCACTCAGCCCCGCTCAGCTCAGCCCCACTCAGCTCAGCCCAGCTCAGCTCAGCCCAGCTCAGCTCAACTCAGCCCAGCTCAGCTTAGCCCAGGACAGCTCAGTCCAGTTTAGCTTAGCTTAGTCCAGGTGGGCCTAGCCCAGCTCATCCCAGCCCAGAGATGGGGCAGAGATGGAGAAGGAGAGACATAGTTCAGAGCCTGGGAGGAGGTAGTGGCAGGGGCCTAGGGACGGGGTTGCCCAGAGGACAACTCTTGGGGCCAGTCCATTCAGCCCCGCTCAGCTCAGCCCACCTCAGCTCAGCTAGTCAGCTAGTGCAGCTCAGCTCAGCTTAGACTAGCCCAGCTCAGCTCAGCCTTGTCTAGCTCAGCCCAGCCCAGTCCAGCTGTGCCTAGTTCATCTTAGTCTATCCAGTCCAGTCCAGCCCAGCCCAGCTCAGCTCAGCCCAGTCTGGACCAGGTCAGCCCAGTTCAGACCAGCCTAGCCCACCCAGTGCAGCCCCGCACAGCCCAGTGCGGCCCTGTGTGGTAGCTGCATCCTCCTGGGTGGTGTTCTGGGGCCTCGGTGGTGGTCCCCTTCCCTCTTTGTCTGGGGGCCTCATCACCATCTTCCCCTCCAGGAGGGCTCAGTGTGGCCTGGCTGAGGCCCTGCTGCACAGAGTTGGGAACAAGGGCCTTCAGAGCTCCTGGGACCCACCTGCTCAAGGTTGCAGAGAGCACGTCCTCATGCCACCTGCTCCAGGGCTGCTGCGGGCTCAGGCTTAGCCCCAATGGTGGGGTCTCACCTGCCTCTGCCCCTCCGGCCATTTGCCCACGACTTCTGGGGCTGGATGCTGAGGGCTTTCTGGGAAAGACTGCATGGCAGCCTGACCCCCACGTGGGGTCGCCTGACCACTTCCTGCTCCCTAGATGTGGCTACCGCCTCCACGACAAGTCTGGTCTGTGGTCTGGCTGTGGTGGGGCCAGGTGTGTGGCCTGGGTGGGTGACCCTCTAGGCTGTGGAGGGGCCATGACCCCACGTGGCCGGCCACAGCTCATCTGGGAGATGAGATGAAGTGGGGGAAGGAGCGAGTCAGAGTTGGGGGTTCAGAGATACTGGGGCAGAGATGGAGAAGGAGAGACCTGGGTGAAGGCCTGGTGTTGGGACCATGCAGACAACACAAGCTGATAAAGGGCCTGCCTCCCATGCCTAATGCAAGGACTAGGCTGGGAAGAAACTGTGAGCAAGGCCAGCAGTTTACGAGTCCCAAATCTCCATTGTGTTGCTATACTAGCCTGCACTCAATTTCTCTGCCATGGGCCTTATTGTTGTACCCTGGTACCCCATAAAGGCAAAATAACACCCCCAGCCTTACTATAACTTTTATAATAATCCTGAAGGAATATGGATCTACTAAGGCTGCGGCTGTGAATGGGAATTACTCCCATTAGATTCACCCCACCCTCCTGGAAAATGTCAATAAAGAATGCTGCATTCACTTCTCCTACTGGGGATTACATAGATAAGCATTAGGAAGGTTTAGGTTAAAGCTACTAAATTAGTGAAATGATCTCAGTAGCTGGGAGGGGCTCATCCAGGAGGTGCTGATATCCCAAACAAAGACCATGAGCCACCTTTGATCTCAGGATAAGGGAAGATTGCCACTTCCCAAGCCACAGCCATTGTATAGAACAGCACGTAGAGGGTCCCAGGTACACAGTAAACTTTAGGTCAGTCATTAAGCTGCTCACAAGACCACATTCCTTTCCCATGTAGACATTAGACTCACCCTCTTAGCTGTGGGCTTCCCCAGAGATAATATAGGTATTCCACTTTAGTATATATTAACCTTGTCTACTTAACCAGATAGGATTTCTACCTAGGCCTTTGTAACTGGCAACCTGCTGCCACCCTAGCCTGAGGCTGAAGTTCTCAAGCTGACCTGGGGCTCAAGTTCTCAAGCTAGTCTGAGACTGAAGTTGTCAAGCTGGCCTGGGACTGAGGTTATTAAAATTCCTGGGAAATTCCTCATCCAAAAGACCCTTCCCGGTAATGAAGGTCTAAGGAGAAAGTGCACCAGACAAATGTACTTCCTCGTTCTAAGAATTATGACTGTTTATACTTAAACAAAACAGATGTCATGTTTTATGATTATTGTTCCTATACTTTGAATGCTTTACCTTTTGAAGTAAAATCTTTTACTTATTTCCTCTCACCCATCCTACTCCTATAAAACTTCTTCAATAATAAATACGTATGTCTCCTAGCCATCAGGGCTGCAGTCTTGAGTTGGCTCTGACTGTAGTTGGCTGAGAACATGCTGGAGGGCATCGAGGTCTCAGTCTGATTCCTGATCACCCATGTTGCCTTCCTGTGTACCCCAGCTGGAGCAGGCCTCTGACAGCCTGGGAGAAGGTGGTGGCAGGGCCCAGGGACGGGGTTGCCCAGAGGACAATCCTTGGGGCCAGCAGGGTGGGGTGAACCTGTCTTGTTTGGCCAGACCAGAATGACTGCCACCACCGAGGGCCTCTCCTGTGTGGAGCCTGCGGCTGCCCCTGCTTGCTGCCCCCTCCTGCCCCAGGCTGTGTCCTCTGCGGCCGTGTCTGGAGCAGCCCTTGCCTGCTCTGTGCCGCTCACAGCCTCTTCCTGCTATCTCTCCCTGGGAGACAGCCTCTGTCTGGGCAGTGAGGGACTTCCACTGTGTGGATGTCACCACACCTGCTCACCCACAGTCGGGGTCTGGGCCCCACATGAGCACTGGACGGACCTTGCCCTGGAAGGGCCTAGCTGGGAGTGTGGCGAATTGAGTGGTGTGATGGAAGTCCTGCCACGCTGGGCCAGGGAACCAAGGTCAGCTCTTCCTGGGGCTCAGGAAGGGAAGTGGGTGGGGAGGAGCCAGCCAACAGTGGTGGGAAGTGTGGGGTGAAGTGAAGACCCCCTGGCTGTGGTGGGGAAAGCTTCTAGGTGGGCTGGGGGTGACAGCGAGGCCTGGTCAGGGTAGGGTGGCCAGGAGCCCTGGCCACTGGATCCTGGAGGCTTGCTATTTACTTTTTTAGATGTATTTGCCATGTCGCCCCTCTTGCCCAGCCTGCCAGGGTCTGGGCCCACAGGACAGGGAGGTCGAGCACTGGAGGCCTGGGCCTACAGAGTAAGTGTCAGGCAGCACTACCTCGCCTTGGCTGGGAGGGCAGTGTGCTCCAGGCTGCAGCCAGTGCAGAGGGCCGTGGCTTGGCGGCCTGGCCTAGGGTGCTGGCCAATAACAGGCGTGTCTTTCGGTTCTGGGGCCAGAAACCCAAGTTCAGGGTTCCGCCAGGTGGGGTCCACTGAGGGTGTCTCCCACCCTTTAGGGTTCTCACCTGGCAGAAGGGGCGGGAGCTCTCTGTATCCCCTCTCCCAGGGTGCTGGTCCTACTCTCAGGGCTCCAGCCTCACGGCCTGGTCACCTCTCAGAGCACTCAGCTCCAGACACATCTCCCAGCGCCATCACATAAGGATTTGGGATGCAAACAGGCAGCCCTGCACCACGTCACCCCACCTTTGCTTCCTCTGCCCTCTCGTGGCCATCCCCTCTTCTCTATGTCCTCCTTCAGGTCTTGTAAGGACACTGACCACCCTGGGCAGGCCTTGCCCCTTAGCTGATCCCACAGGTGAAGACCCTGTCTCCAAACCAGGTGCATTTGCAGGTCCCAGGGGTTGGGACGTGCTGTGTCTTTGGGGCCACCTTTCAGCCAGCTACGGGGTTAACAGGAACATAGAGGAGGGCCCGGGGAATCGAGGGTTTGGAGGTGTCCTCCTGGCCCTGGCTGGGAGGCTTGGTGCACGGAGGGCGGGGTCGCCAGCATTCCAAGTGTGGATTCTGGAGCCCACCTGCCTGGTGCATGTCCCATGGCCCAGCCCTGTCCCCTCTCAAGTGGGGCGACCATCTTGCCTGCCTCTCAGGCCCGAGGGAGGTGGACCTGCACATGTGACGTGCCTGGTGTGGAGCCGGGTCTGGAGCCGAGTGCTCGCGTGTGTCTGTGTATGAGGAGAGCTGGACTGGGCCATGGCCGTGGCTGTGTCCTGGCAGTCCTGCCCCTCTGTAGTCCGGACAGATCAAATCCCTGCATCTCTAGGCCAGTCTGCAGCTGCCCAGCACGGATTGCCACCGGGTTGCCACCAGGTTCTGGTCTGGTCCAAGGCATCTCGGGTGCGATGCCTGGCCTGGGGCAGGGGCTGTGGTCCACCTCCTAGGCTCACGTGCGCCCTAGCCTGGCACGCGTCAGGGTCCCTGGAGCAGGTCCGTGGTGGAGCGAGGCTCTCTCTGTGGGGCCGTCCTGGAGTAACCGCAGATGAGGCTGAGCGTCTGGCCAGCCAGCCCTGCCGACGGTCTCAGCTCCCGTCCCTCAGCCAGGCTGCTGCCCTCCTCCCTGCCTCCTCCTGGCCGCATTCTCTCTTGTGGAAACATTTCTTTCACACTTGCGGTCACCGAGTCCCCTTCCCATGAAGGGCTTGCGCTCATCTTTCTTCCTGCTGGCTCCTGGGTGCCTTCTACGTGAGAGGGCCCTGCCCGTGGGCACATGGACTCCCTCTCACCAGGCCGTGTGGAGACCTCAGCAGAGATTCTGCCAGGGAACGTCCCTGCCCTGCCTCCCTGGGCTGCCCCCTGAGGACAGCAGTGCAGCCCACGTGACTCTTGCTTGCCTGTCACCACTCCCCGCAATGTGTGTGCGGGCTGGCTGGCAGGCTGGGGGCGGGCCTGTCTGTGCTCAGTGGGCGGACGGGTCAGAGCAGGTGATCAGTGTCCTGGGAGGCGGTGTGCCAGGTCCCACCCTGACTACGGAGTGGGGCCTTGGGCCTTCTGCTCTGAGTGGCCCACAGGGCCAGCCGTGGCTTTTACTGTGGCTGGGTGGGGAGTCTGGGCAGGACCAGCAGGGCAGGTGTGACAGGGCCAGGGGTAGGAGTCTCTGGTGGTGCTGGGGAGACCCTCGTAGGAGCAGTGCCTGGCCACCAAGGCCCCAAGACCCCAGACCGGCCCCTGCCCCCTGCCCTCTGGTCCCTTGTCCACATCTTGGGTCATAGACATGCCCACAGCACTCAGGAGACATGCTACTTGTGAAAAGGAATTTTACTTAGGGCCCAAAGTGGAGGGGACAGGGTGGCTTAAGCCAGAGTGAGGGGCCGGGTGGGCAGTCTCAGCCTGTCTCTGGCTGTGGAACAGCTTTGGCTTTGCCCCAGAAGGGCTTCTCTGCACCCTCTGTATAGGGCAGGCTGGGGACTGACAGTGGAGGTGCAGGAAGACGGGCTGTGGGGCGCCTGGGCCTGACCAGGTCACCGGCCACAGTGCTCTGGGTGGTCTGGCAGAACAGCAGTGGCTCTGGTGTCCATGGCCTGGGACGGGCTCGGGCAGCGTTGCAGCCTGGCCCTCTGCTGCCCGGCTGGGGTGGGGCGGGCTGCGGCTGACAGCCCCTTTGGTGCCTGGAACCTTGAGGCCAAGCTGGAACCTCTGGACCCTGGTGCACTTGTCATCAGCCCATGGTGGGGTCGGTGTGTCCCCAACTCTGGCCTCCTTGGGGGTGTATCTGTCCCTCGTCCCGCCAGGGTGGCGCGGTGGCCTGCGTGGCTCAGGTGCGGCGTGGCTCAGACTGCATGACGTTGGTGTAGTCGTGGGTGGCCTGGGGCTGGCCCTGCCGCACCGCGGAGAAGACCCACTCCACCTGGGGGATGCGGGGCGTGAGGGGCTCTGCTGTGTGCGGGGGTTCCCGGGGAGAGGGTGGTCCGCAGCGCCTGCCCCACCTTGACCAGGGTGACGGTGGCACTGTAGCTCACACTGAGCAGGAAGAGGGCGGTGAAGACGCACGCACTGGTCCAGAGCCCCTCTAGCTCCTCGCGTTCGTCCTCCTCTGCGCACAGGTCCTGCAGGTCCAGCTCTGGGGGGACCAGCCACTTAGCCCCCCTGGCCTCCTGGGCCACAAGGGTTCTCCTGGCTGTTCTCAGGCCACCTTACTGATGCTGGGGCCCTCAGGGGTGGCCCAGAGTCACGGGCAGCTCTGAAGGCTGGAGGCTGCTGTCCCTACTGGCTGCTGCCGTGTGGGAGAGCATGCCCTCCACCCCTCCTGGACCCTGCAGGCAGAGCTGGGTCAATCTCTTGCCCTCTGGACCCTGCAGGCAGAGCTGGGTCAATCTCTCAGCCTTTGTGTCCCTCCAGTCCCCATGGTGGCACTTTTCTGTTCCTCTAGTGCTCAGGCTGCTGGTCACTCTCCTCAGCCTGCCGGATCCTCTTAGAGCCCATGCAGTGGTGGGGGAGTCAGTGGCCCTTGCTGCTGGCAGCCCTCCTGCCCATGGTGGCCCCATGCCTGTGCAGTGGGACCCTGACCTGCTCAGGGATGGCCCTGCTCAGAGCCCTTGGGAAGGGGTCTAACCACAGTCTAGCCACCCAGCATGCCAGCCCTGGCCAGAATCACCCTGGCACGTGCTCTGAGGAACCCCAAACCCAGGTCTGTGGGAGCCCAGAGCTGCCCATGCCCACCCAAATCTGGCCTCACACTTCTGTCTGGCCCTCCTGCTCTGGGCTGGCCCTCCCTTTCCCCAACACCCTGTGCTGCCCCCTCTCTGGTGGCCTTTGGCCAGCCTCCTCTCTGGCTCCCAGCAGGGTGCTGGGTGCAGGGTGGGCTGAGCCTGGACATGCCTCTCGGGCAGGTGTGCAGGTGCACCTGGGCTGCCGTGTGTCCGTTTCTGGACCCACGTTTTCAGAGGGGGAAGACCGAATGCTCGGTGGCCATACACAACCAGCAGAGTGGTCTGATGTGTGGCATGCACCCTGGCGTGTGGCCCCACTCTGACCTGCTCAGCCTCTAGGCCTGGGGACAAGGCGTGCAGCCTGCTCTGGGCTGTGCTTGAGCACAAGAGGGTGTGTGTCTGTGTCCATGTCCGTGTGCACGTGCGTTTTCGTGCACTTTGTGTGCACCCATGTCTGTGTGCCTGTGGTGTTCAAGTGTGTCTACGCATGTGCTTGTGTATGTCTGTGTATCTGTGTGTGTGTGTTGGTGTGCTGTGTCTATGTGTGTGCACATGTCTGTGTGTGGGGAGCAGCTGACGGGGTGGCTGGGGCCACGGGGGCCACCGAGGGAGCCTGTTACTCCTGTCTTGGGTCCACGGCTCAGCTGTGAAGGATGGTCTTGGGGTGGCCTGGGCGAGAGGCCGGTGTGGGCCGCGTGTGTGACAGTTGCACTGCGGTGTCTGCATGGGGGTCGTGGCTGGCGTGCAGGGTGTGGCGGAGTCCCGTGACCGGGTGCGTGAGTGCAGTGCGAATCACGGCTCGTGCTGTGCACGTGGGTGCGACTGAGCTAGCGAGGGCGGTGCTTCCCGGGGGTGGGAGCTCCAGGGCTGGGGTCTGCCCTGTGCCTCAGGGCCTCCTCTGCTTGTTGGGGCAGGACCCACAGGGTACAGGAGGCTGGCGGAGTGCCATCTGATGGTGCTCTGTGTGGCGGGCAGACCAGGTAGAGCCAGACCCGATTCTGCCCCCTTCCTGCCCCTTCTCTTGTCTGTGCCAGGATGCCCCACCCTGCGGCACTCCCATCCCAAGGACGGGCGCCCAGGGCTCTGAGCAGGCACCGGCATGTTTATTGGGCTCCCCGTGGTTACAGCAGTGGGTGGGCACACGTCATTTACCAGGGGGTTTGGACACGGTTTCCTCAAGGACATGGGAGGACAGCGCCTCGTGGACCACACGGCAGGTGAAATTACTCTGCTCCCAGTCGGAGCGGGACACCTCCAGGCGGCTGAGGGCGAAGAAGGTGGAGCTGGAGCTGTTGGTCAGGAGGGGTGGCGTGGTGCGGTACTGGCTGTCTGGGAGCAGCACCTTGCCGCGCAGCCACTGTACGGAGATGTCGGCGGGGGAGAACCTCTGCATCAGGCAGATGAGCGTGACCGTGTCCGTGCTGGGCTGCGTCTCCTGGGGCAGCGGGAACAGGTGGACCTCGGGCTTGGTGCGCTTGCCTGCAGAGGCGTGAGGTCAGCTGGGCCCTCCCCACCCCCACCGCAGGCCTCCCTGGACCCGCTCACCCGGGGCCGCTCACCCGGGGCCTTGGTGATGGTCCGCACGATGTCCTTGGGCAGGTCGGGGTGGGAGATGGTGCAGTGGTAGACCTCGCCCTCTAGCCAGTCCTGGAGGTCCACTGGGAGGGTGGACATGATGGTGACCGTTTTATTGAACTGGCTCTTGGGCTCTGGCTTCTCCTGGATAACAGGCTTCCCGCTATCGCGGCTCCAGACCAGAGTCAGGTCGTCCGGTCTGGCCAGGTCTACCACTAGACACGTGATCTTGGGAGACTTGTTCACGTACAGGTCGAGGGGGCTGGGCGCGCTCAGGTAGGCGCTCACGCCCCGCGGCTCCGACTCTGTGTGGGCAAAGCAGTGTGAGACCCTGTGCCACCTCCGGCCCGCCCGCGGGTCAGGTGTGAGACCCTGTGCCACCTCCGGCCTGCCCACGAGTCAGGTGTGAGACCCTGTGCCACCTCTGGCCCGCCCGCGGGTCAGGTGCCGACTACCTGTGCACATCCGGGCACTGCTCTCCAGGGTGAGGCCTCTGTAGGCGACCCGGCAGGTGAAGGTGCTTTCTGACACCCACTGGCCCTGGGTGATGTTCAGCTCGCTGTGGGTGGAGGCCAGCTTGCCCTCCTCCTTGGGCGGGGCCACGTAGGTGAGCTTGTTGGTGTCCTTGAGCCCATTCACCAGCCAGGTGACCTCAAGGTCGCCTGGGGTGTAGCCAGAGATGAGACACAGGAGCTGGATGGTGGTGTGGGTGTCTCCACTGGGGTCGCAGGAGGAGTGGAAGAGCTTCACGGTGGGCAGGGCGAAGTTCACAGCGCAGGCTGGGGGCCAGGTGGTGGGGCTCAGTGCTGGGCCTCCCTGAGCCCTGCCCCCACTCTCTGCCCACATGCCCCGGCCATGCCCTTCCCCTCCCCGGCCTCTTGGCCTTGGCCTGGCAAGCTGGGGACCACTGGCTGGGGTCCCCTCGCTGCGACCTCCTCGAGCCAAGCCTGCTCACCTTCGAAGGCCTTGGTGCTGTTGACAGTGGAGGAGGGCGGGTGTGCCACCCTGCAGGTGAATTTCTCCTTGGCCCACTCGCCCGACACGGTCACCTGGCTGACGGAGGTGTAGAGCCCAGAGGGCAGAGTGACAGCAGGGAAGGTCACCACACTGCCGTTCAGGGAGCCTGTGTCCCAGGTCACCTCCACGGGCTCCGGGAAGTAGCCCTTGATCAGGCAGCCCAGCGTCACGGAGGTGGAGGTATCTTTGCAGCAGGAGGGCAGAGGGAAGATGGAGGGGCCCTGGATAGAGACTGTGGGGAGGGCTGCGTCAGCCTGGCTCAGGTCCTGTGGTGGCCCCTGGCCTGGGGTCTGGGTGCAGCAGAGGGGATGCTGAAACCTGTTCCAGCCTGGGTGGAGCCAGGTGACCCAAGCTCACTGGGGTCTTTCCCATGAGGCCCAGGCTGGGCACCATCTGGCAGCCTCCTGGACCATGTCAGAAGACACTGCTCTCTTACACCCTCAGGCAGGCTCAGGGTGTTACCCCACCTTGACTGTTGGACCTGAGCCCCTGAGGAGGCCCATTCTTCTGGGGCTTGGGCACCCAGAGAGCTCCAGGAGCCACTAGGTTGTCCCCAACTCACCTATAGGCCCCGGGTGGGGACCAGAGCCCTCCCAGGAACCGACGGTCCTCTCTTCTCCCACCCACAATAGTATGGTCTGCCCATGCCCTGCCCAGGCCCTGCTTCCTGGGGCTGTGGGCTAAGGTCCTCAGGGACCCCAGTGCCTTTTGGGATTCTCTGCCACTGCAGACTCTGCCTGACCTCCTAAGTAGAGGGCAAGACCTCCACACAGTCCATCTCCTGCCTCCCGCAGCTACACCCCTGCCCTAGGCTGCCCTGGTTTGCACACCTGCTGTCCTTCTGCTCTGGCCCTGTCCAGCCTGGTCCTGGTGCCCAGCTCAGCACAGCCTTAGGGTCTGCTGAGTGCCCAGTCCAGCACTGTCCAGCCTGCTCCTCTGCCCACCTGACTTAGTCAAGCCCAGGCCAGGTAGCCTGGAGTCAGCAGAGCCATGGTCAGAATCGGCCAGCTCAGTGCAGTCCAACCCAACAGGTTCAGTGGCTAGAGATAGCCCGCCCTGACAACCCTGCCCAGGTCAGCCAGGAGATCCCACTTTAGACCTCAAACTAGACTCAGCCAACTCAGTCTGCCAGGTGAGAGTGGCCAGATACAGCCCCATTCAGGTGAGCTGGACCCAGCTCAGGGCAGCCGGGCCAGAACTGGGAGAGCCACATCAAACCTGATGCCTTACAGTGCAACCAGCCCTGCTCAGCTCAGTTACTAGAGCCAGCTCAACTCAAGCCAGCCCTGCTCAGCCCAGCCCAGCCCAGCCAGCTCAACTAAAGCCAGTCCAGCCCAGCTCAGCCCAGCCCAGACAGCTCATCTAAAGCCAGTCCAGCCCAGCTCAGCTCAGCCCAGCCCAGACAGCTCATCTAAAGCCAGTCCAGCCCAGCTCAGCTCAGCCCAGCCCAGACAGCTCATCTAAAGCCAGTCCAGCCCAGCTCAGCTCAGCCCAGCCCAGACAGCTCATCTAAAGCCAGTCCAGCCCAGCTCAGCTCAGCCCAGCCCAGACAGCTCATCTAAAGCCAGTCCAGCCCAGCTCAGCTCAACTCTGCCTGGCTCAGCCCAGCCTAGCCCAGCCCAGCTCAGCTCAACACTGCCCGGCTCGGCTCAGCTCAGCCCAGCTCGGCCCGGCCCAGCCCAGCCCAGCCTAGCCCAGCCTAGCCCAGCCTGGTCCAGTCAGGCCAGCTCAGCTCAAACCTGCCCAGCCCAGTCCAGTTTAGCCCAGTTCAGCTCAAACCTGCCCAGCCCAGTCCAGCCCAGCTCAGCCCAGCTCAGCCTAGCCCGGCCCAGTCAGGCCAGCTTAGTCCAGCTCAGCTCAAACCTGTCCAGCCCAGCCCAGCCCAGCCCAGCCCAGTTCTGCCTAGCTCAGCCCAGTTTAGCCCAGCCCAGCCCAGTTCAGCTCAGCCCAGCTCAGCCCAGCCCAGCCCAGCCCAGCCCAGTTCTGCCTAGCTCAGCCCACTTTGCCCTAGACCCCATTCACTGTGCTCAGGGTGCACTTGAGGATGGACACCCTTGACATCTTTGAGATGTGCAGGTTTTTGCAAGGAGGCACCTCAGCCATGCTTAATAACTCCGCGCGAGCCCGGCCCAGCGCAGCCCAGCCCAGCCCAGCCTAGTTCAGCTCAGCCCAGCCCAGACCAACCCAGCTCAGCTCAGCCCAGCTCTGCCCAGCCCAGCCCAGCTCAGCTCAGCTCAGCCCAGTCCAGTCCTGTTTGGTGTACCTCAGCTCAGCTCAGCCCAGTAAGCCCAGCTCAGCCCAGTCCAGCCCAGCCCAGCCCAGCCCAGCCCTGTCCAGCCCTGCCCAGCCCTGCCCAGCCCAGCCCAGTCAGGCCAGCCCAGTCAGGCCAGCCCAGTCAGGCCAGCCCAGTCAGGCCAGCCCAGTCAGGCCAGCCCAGTCAGGCCAGCCCAGTCAGGCCAGCCCAGTCAGGCCAGCCCAGTCAGGCCAGCCCAGTCAGGCCAGCCCAGTCAGGCCAGCCCAGTCAGGCCAGCCCAGTCAGGCCAGCCCAGTCAGGCCAGCCCAGTCAGGCCAGCCCAGTCAGGCCAGCCCAGTCAGGCCAGCCCAGTCAGGCCAGCCCAGTCAGGCCAGCCCAGCTCAGCCTAGCTCAGCTCAGCTCAGCTCAGCCCAGCCCAGCCCAGCCCAGCCCTGTCCAGCCCTGCCCAGCCCTGCCCAGCCCAGCCCAGTCAGGCCAGCCCAGTCAGGCCAGCCCAGCTCAGCCTAGCTCAGATCAGCTCAGCTCAGCTCAGCTCAGCTCAGCCCAGCCCAGCTCAGCCCAGCCCAGCTCAGCCCAGCCCAGCCCAGCTCAACTCAACCCAGCTCAGCCCAGCCCAGCCCAGCTCAGCTCAGCCCAGCCA